TTATAATATCAGAACTTATATTATATAAATATATAATACAGTTCGAGATAAAGAAAAGAGACTATTATTTAAAAAAAAATTAAAATTAACAAAAAAAAAGTATAGTTTTCTTAAAAAAAATATTAAGTCAATTAGTAATAATAAAAATAATTATAATAATAAATAAAAAAAATAGTAGAAAAACTATTTTTAAATAACTAGAAGTACTAGTTTTATCAGAATATATAATAAATAAAAAAAATATTATTTCTAATATAAATAAAAACCAAATAGTTCTAGTAACTAAAAAAAAGAAAGAAAAATAATAATAAAAATAATAAAAATAATTTTTCATTAGAAGCTTAGTTATAAATATTAAAAAGAGTTAGAAAATATCTATATTATAATAATAATTAATTTATCTTATATTAGATATATATTATATATAAATAAATTTAATTCTTTAGTTTCTATTATTATAAACTTATATATAATTAAATATTTTTTATAATAGATTATCTTAAATATAAATATAATATTTTAAAAATATAGCTGAAATTATATAACTTATAAAATCTACTAATTATATAATATTTATCTAGTTTAATAATTTATAAATATTTGCTAAAAATCTATAGATTAAATATTTAAATCTATATTTAATCTGCAGGTTAAGCCCATCGACCCAAAACCCGCCAAGAACCGGGTTGGGTTTAGACCCGACCCGTGAACCCGCGGGCTTTGGCGAGGCCTAGGTCAGATCAGGTTAATTAAAATTTTTATATCTGACCGCCAGGTTATAATCAGATTAAGAAAATTTTTATACCTAACTATAGTATAGCTTAAAACCGGATAATTAATTATTTTAATTATTTTTAGTATTAAGATCTATTTACTATATCTTTTTTAATCTTAGTATAATTAAAATATACTTAGATTAAGCAGTTATTAATCTGGCTATTTAAATTATTACTAAAAAATATATAAAAAAAAGCTTTTTAAATAAGATAAAAATAATGTAAAAAAAAATAGTATTCTTATTATATATATTTCTGAGAAAATAATAAAAGAATTCTAATAATATTAATAGAATTTAGCTTTTTATAAATTAATAGCTGTTATAATATAAAATATAAAAAAATATATAATTATAGGTTTATTTAGACTATATATTTTAATTATAATATACTATACTACTAAAACTATATTTTTATTTTTAATTCAGCTATTAAAAATAATTATATAGTTTTTAATCTATTTTTTATTTTTTTAATTTTAGTTTAGATAGTCTATTAATTTTTTCTTTTTATTTAAAAAAACTAAATTATATATTATAAATTAAACTTGTAAGCAGAATCTATACTATATTATTTACTTGATTTTTTTAGTAATTATACTTATCAGAAACTATCTAATTAAAAATTAAATATTAAATCTTAATAGATTTTTATAATAATTTTTTTAGAGCTTTTTTATATTCTAATCTATTATATTTAATTAAGCTTTACTTAAAATAAGAAAGATTTCTATATTTTTAGACTTTGAATATAATTTTTTATTTATAAAACAGCTAAATCTAAGAGATACTATAGATATTTTTAGCAGTATATAAAAATATAATAAATTATATTTATACAAAAGTATATTTATAATTAAAATTATACTATTTTTATAAAGATTTTCTATTTTTATCTTTTTACATCTTTTATTTAGAGAGTAGTTTTAGAATTATATTTTAATTATAATTATATAGTTTATTTTTAGAGAATAGTATTAAACTTTTTTTTTATTTTTTTAGATTTTACAAACTATAATAATTTTTAAATTAAAATAAGTTTTCTAAGCCAGCTCTTTTTATTTTTTCTAAATCTTTGTCTAAATCTTAAGATTATGCGTATTATAAAAAATCAAAAGATTATTTTATATTTATTTTTTTAAATTAAAATTTCTATCTTTCAGAATTAGTAGCAGAAAATAATCCTTTCTAACTAGTTTATTAAATATAAATAAACTAGTATATTGTTTTTATTAAATATTCCTAATAATATTATATATAATATACTATATCATACTTCTGATATACTGTTTCTTACTGTTAAAATAATATTTCCAATAATAAATTAGTAGTTATAGACTGTCCAATTACCAGTAATTTATTTTTAGTATTTTTATTTATAAAAACTGCAATTCAAAAACTATTATATTATTTAATTTATATATAGAAGCTGTCTTATATTTTATTTAAACTATTATAATTTTATATTATTAATATTAATAATAATCTAAATTTTTATATTAATATTTTATTTAATCTTTTAATTAATAACTGTTTTATTTATATTTTATTTTTTAATATTACAGCTACGCGGCCGATTATAAATCTATTTTTAGATTATAAACGATTTTTTATCATAAAAAATTAATATTATAGAATATTGGCTATACTTCTATTAGTTATACTAATATTATAGCTTATATTAAAGTTTTTAAATAATATAATATTACTTATTATAAAATATAATAATAAATTAAATAAAATATTTTTTATATTATTTTATATTTTTATAAATTTCGACTTTTATTTTTTAAATAAATATAAAAAATTAAGTATAATAGTACGTACAAAGCTTATTTTTTTATTAAAAAATTTTATTAATATACTAGTAAGAATTATTAAATAAATAAGATTTATATTATTATTATAAAAAATATTAGTTTTAAGATTTTCATTATTTTTACTGCTATACTCGGTTAAATACTATATAATGTTAATATTATTATAGTTTTTTTTAATATTAAATTATATAAATTAATATATATTAAACTGTTAAAAAACTTTTAAAAGAATAGTATATATAATATACTTATTAAGTTATTATATAAATTAAAATAAATACTATATAAATAATATAATATATTTCATAATTTTTTTATTATAAACAGCTTTAAGTATCTTTATATAAACTATTTCATATTTATTAAAAAAATCTTTATATATTTATTTATATTAATAATATTCTATTTTTAGTATTAGATATCTTTATAATTAATATTTTTAAAAATTTACTAAATAATTTTATTAAATTTCTTAATAATTGTTTCTGTATTTATTTTCTTAGTATTAATATTATATAAACTAATAATAATATATATTTTTTATAAAAGTTATATATTAAAAACTATTTAAAATATTTTAATATAAATTATATTTAATATATATCTTAATATTATATATATAACTAGTAAGTTATTATTTTTATAATCAATTTTAATAAATCTTATATTTAAATTATAAATCTTATCTGGTGCTATTTTATAGACTTATTAAATTATTATTTTTTTATAAATATAAAGATTCTGATTTTATTAATTATTATAATATTAATTAAATTGGTTTTTATATTCTTAATATTATATTAACTTTCAGCTATATCTTTTAACTTACTAACAGATCTATTTTCTAAAGTTTAAAGAAATAAACTACTATTATATTATTTTTTATCAAAAGTATATATATTATTTAAGCTGTTATAAACTAAAAACTTTTTAATTTTAACTTTTATTTATTAAATTAAATATCTAATATTTTAAAATTATATTTATATTAATAACTAAACCTATTATAATTTATACTAATAAATAATCTATTATTATTCTAACTAAAAATTCTAAATCTTATATAAGAACTAAAGATATATTTATTAAATAATATTTTATATAATATAAAGTATATATTAAAAATATTAAGTTTATTTATATTAATATAAAAAATTAAGCAGCTAATAGTTTTATAAAACTTTTTAAATATTTTATTTATTTTTACTTTATTAAACTGCTTGATATAGTAGATCTTATTTAATATTTTTATATCTATATTTTATTTATTTTCTGTTTTAAAAATACGAGCAGTCTTATTTTCTTTATATATAACTTAGTAGTAATCTTCTTGTTTATAGAGGATATAGCAGATATCTAAAGTTATATAATCTTAGATTTTACTATCTCTTAGAGAAACAGCTATATAGCTGTAGTCATCTTAATTAATACACATATGTTTCCTCTCACAATTGTCAGTTGCTGAAGTATTGTTAAACTTCTCTATCAGGAGATTCTACTACAGCAAGCGATCTTTTGGCTCGCGGCTCATAGTGTTGACGCAGTGATTATAACTGGGGTAACTGCACTGATGCAGGGGCAGTAGCACAAATCTTCCACTCAACAACTACGACCAAGCAGCAAGAAGTAATAAAATCAATGAATGAATTCAATTTTACTTACATGCAGTAAATAGCCCCTTGGACCTCGCATGTCCATGTCAACAAATGACTTGAAAGAGGCGACCAAAAAGACAAAAATATACAACAGAAGGGATTCGCTGGTGGTCACCCACCCAACTACTAACCTCCCGGCGTGTGGCTTCTCTGCGGCCAGTAGTCGGGTGGGTGCCTCTAAAGGTGCTCAGCACGGCTGCGCTCGCGCTTAGTGCGACTGCGTTTTAGAGGGCTGAAGTTCCGTGAAGATCCGTGAAGCTCCGTGCTGCTGCGTGCTGCTGCCTGGCTTTGACAAATCATGAATTTTAGGCACCCCACTTTGTCTCCACTCCAGTGCTTGCGAAATACATCTGAACTGTTTCAAGTTCCGCAATTTTGGTTATCTTCCGGAATTCCCGATCTTCGCTCTTGCGGGTAGTCAGGAGATCACCACACGCAGCAATCCGCGACGTCTACTCGTATTGTAAGTGTCTCAGGGCAGCGCTGAAAGCCAATTTTCCCTTCTGATTTCACGGGTCGTGGGTAGGACTCTAGCTGTTCATTTCTGAGATGTATGCTCTTTTCAAATGCAACCGGTTTGAACATGTGGTGAATGACAAAGGCCCAGTGGGAATGATAGCGTGATTCACATGCATGCCATGTTTCCTAGCTTCCGGCCAGGTCTTCTGCCCGAGGACAGGAACGGTCATGTTCCTCTTGGAGCATCTCAACGCTGTCTATCCCTTGCCCCTACATAGCAGGGCCTCCTAGCGGTGTGGAACCCATTCCTTCCTAGTCAAGCTGGAAGGTTCTTTTTGTTACAATTAAGAGAGCTCATGAGAGGCTGTTCAACTGAATTCAGCTGCACAGGTGGCGTGCCATATCATATTCTCGTCATCTCCGCGGAAGATTGAGTACCTCTAAGACTAGAGGGGCCATGATCACATTAACTTCAAATAGCTCGACATCAAGTCGGCCACTGGTCTACCACTCTGTCCGGCCGGTTTTGCCTCGTTTTACCATCTCATGCAATAAAAGCTTAGGGACAAGAACACTCCTGTGTGGAGAACAACGTGTTGCTAGCCGATGTAAACACAACGAGAACCGCTGCATAGCTGTGCAATGGTATATGCATTAGCTCCTTGTACAGTCTCCTTGTGCTTGGACTTGCTTACCCCGCCCCGGCAATGAATATCTCCATGGTTTTTGCTCCGGTGAACAGGGACATGGTTGTTAGGGATACCCCAGCGGCGACAATGATAGTGACTAGCCGCGCGACTGGACTTGTTGTAACAAAGAGAATAATAATCGGAGTCAGAAGAGCGAGTGTGGCCATCCATGTTGCAATAGCTTGGCTGACGCGGCGTATCCAAGGACCGACAATGAAAATATTTTCGTCCTCTGTAATGTAGTGATTCTTTCTTGTCGCCGGAGAGAATGAGAGCTGGAATGATCATATCAGTCGACAGTAATATAAGCATTGCCTTTAAAATTAATATGCGGCGCTGATGAACGGTTCTTCTTCCATCCTATCTCTCTTCTTCCTTTCTGGCCTTGATTGACCACAGGAGGAGGAAATATATCTTCCATAATGAGTAGAATGAAAACATGGGCTAGGGCAATACACACTCTTCGACTTGTCCGTTGAAGAAAGCATAGAAAGTCTTCCAACAAAGGCAATGTACGCTCGACGGCAATATCAGGGGGCGTCACCAAACTCGCCAGGTCTTGGTCATGATCCAGGTACTTCCTTTCTTCTCGCGCGATACAGCCGGTTCCTTGCACCCAATTCTGCAGACTTTGAATATCCCTTGCACTGGAGTCAGACAGGGACTGGACCCATTGGGTCTGCTGCAACATAGTATCTAAAATAATATAAGCTTCGAGCTGCCCACTATACTGCGGGTTGAAAGATTCTACCATATTCGGCGAGATGCGTTCTCAGCTCGTCCAGAATTCTTTTGCGAGTAGAATTCTGGTCACGACGAGCGCAACCTAAAAATAGCCCATGAGGTTCATCGGCATCGGCACGGCTCAGCGCTTGCTCGAGAACAGATATCTCGTCTTGTTTTAGCAACAGAAGTCGCATCCGCACTTCTGTGAATCGACGGAACTTCTGAAATGATGCGTGTGTGCTCAATAACGCTGAATACCTGGGATATCCAGGCCGGAAAGTCTCCACTAGGGACAGGTATTAGAGCACTCTTTGTGAACGAACATTTACGAACCACGAGTCAGCATACAGTAAGACACACGAGGTTCGCCGTCGGCTGAATTCATTCTGATGGATTTATCGCTGTGGGCGCTGGATAGGTCTCTGGAGTAGTGCGGCCAATTTAAGACCGGTACTTTGACGAAGAGGGAAAACAAATTGGAAATGGCATGACCATGTCGCGCCGTTGTTTTCGAGTTGCATAACATATTCGGTGGACAAGCTGTTGATGTCCAATCAGCTACAACCACGTATTAATTGAGGGTAAGCGGGGCTCTTCATTTTGGCCCCAAAAACGTGATATTTATTTATGGTTCACCCGGCCAGGAGAGTAGCTGATGTCATCCCCACCCGTTTCTCCTTGCGAGTTGAGAAGGACTGGTAAGCATGTTATCTCCTTGGCCTTACTATAGTCTTCATCTTCATCAAATGCGATTCGCCTGTGATACTGATCCAACAAAAGTAAAGCTGCCATGGATCGTGAGAAATTAGGAGACTGGGACCGTCGCCCAAGGATTGGGGCTTATGCCAACGTAAGTGCATGTACTTAGCCTGCTTCCCAGTGCTGATATATCACTGAAAGCCATAGAAAACCAAATTCTGTGTTGGTGACGAGGTCTACCTCAGCGAGCCTGGCGGCCGTGCATTGCGAGGACCTTACCTAATTGCCAGCGTCGGAGCTGGTGGAATCTATACTCTCAGCCTACAAGATGGGACAAGGGTGGACAATGGAAAGGTCTTTAGCGAGGCGAATCTCGAATTTGCATAGTGAGGAAGGGACGAGAGTCGGCCAAAACCACTGTATCATCTAACGAATGGTAATGCCCTCGGCTATTCTATCAATTACCAGTCTTCGGAAAGAGTCATTCAATTTGGTTCCTTGGGCATCATCAAGGTCAACCCCAAAGTCCGAAGCGAGGCATGCCGCAACGGCCTGCTGGTAGGTAGTCCCCGCGTAGTGCGCAAGTCGTGTTAAACAAGCCTCCTGCAGTTTCTTCTGTAACACGTAGGGGGCCGGGGCTTCAGGCCTCCTCGAGGCGACAAGATCGTGGGCGGACTGCCAGAGGCCGATTTCAAGTAGAACGACACCCAGCGAGTAAAGATCATGCACCTTCCGGTGGCCTTTACGAGCAGCCCCCTGCCGAGTGGGATGACGGTAGACGTTAAACGCGATGTCGTCTGTCGAACGGCCAATCGAGGGATCTGAATCTGGTCGAGCAAAGTCGAAGCCGTGAAGAAATGGGTTGGCGTAGTCAATCTCTTCGGATCCCTTGAAGCTCCAGAAAATCACATTCATCGCGCTGATTCCTTGGTGCACCCATCCAACTTGGTGCCAGCTTCGCACAGCCTGGGCAATTAATAAAGCAATCCTCAATCTCTGGTCCAGCGAGGGTCGCCTGGCCCCTTTAACTTGCTTTATAATTGACTGCAGTGTATGATGGTCACTGCTCGATCCATTGGCATACACCTCCGGGACTTCAAAATGAAGTACGTAACGATGATCCCACGACTGATGTTCCCATGCACAGCATTTCAGGGAAAGGAACTGTCTTCCCTTTGGGGCCTTTAACAGTTCGGCCAAACGACGGACCCTGGAGGTAAGATCGGGAATCTGAGCCGGATCCACGTATTGACTGTACTGCTTCGTCTCCACGAGGACCACTTGGTTGTAGGTCAACGACCCTCGAGCTTCCTGCTCACTGAGTGGCGTCTCCCGAAGAACAATTTGATGGAGACGTAGATGATCCACGATGCCCAATGTCTGCACCCCAGGATCTTCTATAGCCGTTTCCAAGACATTGGAGTCGGGATCCGCTGAGGCCTCCAAAATGGTACGCTCCACAGTATCTACAAAGGCACTGTTTTGAACGTTGAGCTGCCGAAGGAACGCACTCGTGCTGTCGAGATCATCACCCATGCCATGCCCATTTTCCCGACGATGGTGAGCGTTGGAGCTCTGGGTGCAATGGAGTTTGACTAGCGTAGCGACCTTATTCCATGCCTCCATGATGTCTCGTCGGCCGACATCGGTTAGTTCTTGGGGAAATGCGTGCTTCTCCTGTCGAATGCCTTCCACAAATCGATCAATTTTGGTGGAGGTGTCCAGAACCTCCAGTCTCGCTATCGTTCGAGGCATATCCGTCTCTAGCCATTCGGCAATTTGACCGACGGACGATCCATCTAGTTGCTCCTTTGTTTGGATGAGTAGCTGTAAAACAGATCCCTCCACCATGTCAATATCCTCCTGCCCATGGACGGGGGCAAGTCGGCCGAGTCTGATCGTTCGGGCCCCAGATCGGAGGTTGACATAAAACGGCGTGGCGAAGAGATTTGCATCCCGGTGGGCCAATCGGGCGTGTAAGTCGGTGATTGCCACGGCGCCGGTGGCATCGAGCAGGCCTTGCATTTCCTTCATCAGGGCGACGGTGAACGATCTTCGGCCCGGCCCGAGGGTCTCCATCCCCATCGCCGCGGCGGCGAGAATCTCTAGTCCCCCGGGACGCTGTCGGGTGTCGCGACTGCGTGCAGCCTGGGCCGCAGAACAGCAGTCAAGAAGCAGGAGGGTGTCAGTATCGGTCGCCTTAATATCGTCCTGGATGCGAAACCATTCCAGGCTCGGACCGCCGTGCGCATGCGCAGCCCAGACTGACTGTCGTTCCTCGCCGCCATGTCGATCATCATTGCGATCCCCGTGGCCTCCATAGTGGATAATGAGCAATGGCGCTCCTTTTCTGCTCTCGGCATCGGAGGTCACTGCCAGCAATGATTGCGTAATGAAGTTGTGTAATCGAAGATACGAGTGCGAGCTTGGAATGGGAAATATGTCGACGTCATACTCAAATGAGGACTGGAACAGCTGTGCCAGTGCTCTACCCTCCTCTTCAAATCCGGGGTCGCTTTCTTCCCAATAGATTATCAGCGCTTTGACCGCCGCGTATCCTTGGCGCTGTGCTGAATCCTTCAGGCGCCGGTTGAGGTCGTCCTTCCAGCCAGCGGAGTCTGTAGGCATTTCGCTGCTTCGATGATTTCCTCGGTGCGTTGTCATCTGCTTCAACCTTATGTTCTTTCCAGATGCAGGGAATTTTCTCTGACAATTCCATTTGTCTGTTGGGTGGAATGTTAGGTGGAATCCGAGCGCTACCGGCGGGGCTGGAAGACGAGGCTGACTCAAGTCCTTGGTTTTTGTGCCCAATTCTGCCCGAATGGGGGCTAGCTTCGGCTGTTGGAACAAGGTCATTTGCACAATCGATCATAAACCATGGCTCTTATCACCTCAGAAGCTGCCGCCAACGGAGATGATTAAAGACACGGACGATCGGACAGAAGACCAAACAACCCCCCACGGCAGTGAACAAGATGAGCAACAACCCCGGCTGGCAACACCCCCGTTCATACATCTCCTCGGCTGGTTATAGCAGTAGGCGATCATCCCGGATGCCAGAGGGGTTCAGCCGGGATACTTTTTCAGTAACCAGGGATCGCTTGTCGTCCCTTCGTGACGCCTCCCGTAGCGGATGGACGGCGGTGGAGGTCCTCGTTGACGCGATCTATAAATCCGGGGTCCCGGGTCCTGTCCTTCTGACTGATTATGCCTATATTGGACAGGGTACTCAGTTTGTCGTGTCGCGGCAGTACATGCAGACTTCCACTCCCAGAGCAGTCATGCAAATCCCTGTCGCGGTAAAACAACCCAAATTCGATATAGGCTTCAATACCCAAATAAGTCTTGCCACTACGGGCACATGGAAGCATTTGCATGATTTCTATCTGGAAATTATGTCACTGACCACGCCATCGTTGAGTGTCCACCCGAACATCGTCAAGCTACTTGCATGGTCGAAAGGGGACTCATTTCATTGGCCTCCCCTCCTGGTAATGGAACTTGCAGAATGGGACTTGAATACGTTCCTTACCGAACAGCCGCCGACACTAGCAGAGGCCTACCGGATTTGCTGTGATGTGGCTGCAGGTCTAGACGCTTTACATGAGATCGGGCTCGTTCATGGGGACATAAAGCCGGCGAATATCTTGATCTTCCCATCTGGCCACGGGCCCGTCGCGAAGCTTGCTGACTTTGCACTCTCTACTGATGAGGTCGAGTTTGCAAAGAGCGGGATTTGCCTGGGGGGGACACCAGGCTGGCAGGCGCCAGAGGTGGAGGAAGGACGTGTTTTGACGATCAAGGAGTTAGTGCCTACTGATAGCTATTCATTTGGCTTGCTAGCATGGAGCGTTCTTTTCCTATCCGGTAAGATCCCCCCTCGGGCAACAATTGAGGAGTCGCATGCCACGTTGGTGGTGAAAGATGCCAGCAGGAACAGTGAAATCCCGAAGATTAGCCAGGTATCAACGGCAGTGGGGTTTTTGTCTCAGCTTCTGGAGCTAGATCCGAAGCTACGACCTCGTTTGCTATGCGAAGGATTTTCGTTCAACCGGCACAGGGGAGCCAGAAAAGTGTAAGTCGAGGCAATATCAAATGCGTCCATACAGGTAGTAACAAGAAGCTTGCAGAGAAGAGCCCTCAGGTGGAATAGACCCGGATGACCCGCACGGACTATTTGTTGATCGTACATTCATGGATCGTAACCTCGGTCAAATTCATGACTGGGAGCCACACCCTCTCTCCGTTGAATTCGCCAAGGACATCTATGACAGGTTCCAGGAGAACAAGAGATCAGTGCCATTGCCAATTTTATTCCCTCTCTGTTTGGCACTCACCGTTCCAAGTCTACTGGATATTCAGGATTCCGATAGGCTCAGCTTAGCGGTTTCCGCTGCCTCTGCAGGACACGCCGCGGCCCAAGCTGCCTTCCCGGATTTATACCAGTATTATAAGAGAGATCCTGGGCAGCGACAGAGTCATATTCTTACCCGATGGCTGAAAAACGCAGTTTCTAAGGGCGTCATCTCAGCGAGAGCCGCCCTTGGGGAGCGCGATCCGAAGGCACTTGATCGGTGTGTGCGGTACTTCCATGACAAGGGCGGATTCAATGAGCTCTATAGCCCACACGTGGACGAGGGATTCTCCGCTCTTCATTTTCTGGCTACCTATCAGACAATGTATGAGCTCCGTGAATATTTCAAGCTTCACCCCCGAGAAGATATCGAGCAAATGACGAGTCGATTGGAGACACCACTCTATCTGGCCTGCGCGCGAGGATCCTGGGACATCATCGAGGAACTTCTGAATCTTGGAGCCAGCGCCTCCCCACGGTGCACACCTTACCACATTAGCTGCATTCATTGGACATTTGCTCTTGGAGAGCAGTATCAAGCGGTTGCCGTGAAGCGATTAATTGATGCTGGCGGCGATATCAACTCCGTTGCCTCAAAACCAGTCCCGCTATTTTACTATCCGTTTCACCTTCCGGCGGCAACTGCTTTACATTGGGCAGTAGTTACCTCCAGCTGCAATGCAATCAAAGTTCTTGTTCAGAATGGGGCCGCAGATGCTCTGATTCGAGATGGATGCGATCCGTATATCCATGATGAACGAGTTCGGTGCTTGAATCAATTTGGAGGTTCCAATCTCGAGCAATATTCCTTTTCGAAAGTTAAAACTCAAGGCCTCTCCCCTCTGGACTACGCTGCTATGCAGCATGACCCTTATATTTTCGAGTTATTGCTCTCTGTCAAGAGGAGGGTTGATATTAATGCAGTGGATGAAGAAGGGCTTAATGTATTCCACAGGCTTAGTCACTCCCAGACATGGCACACCAGACGAGGACTCCCATTCTCTTCTCGGCCCTTTTTAGGGAACGCAGGGCA